CCAAGGAGAAGGTTAAACTACCTCAATTGCTCCATTTTTAGCTGTTTTCACACCAACAGATTCCAGCCCTAGGTTCTGCAGGAAGTTTCAGTTCAGAGATATACTCACCAGACAAACAAGATAAAATTGTAATTTCACAACTAAAACAACCAGCTGCTCAGGGAAAATGACATTCAGCAACACTAAGACTAATTATTCAAGAAAACCAGGCAGCTAAAGGAATAATCATGGCAAGTACACGTGATCTGAAAAAATTACCCTCCCTTTGAGAAATAGTAAATCTTAAAGGTAACTCCCTTTTTTCTTCTTGTGTGCTGTTCAGATAGAGTTTTTTGAAGATGATCATGGGAAGGCGGAGCTGCTTTTTCAAGCTACTACGTTCCCAGTGAGCCACTCTTTGGTTCAACAATTTAAAGAGCTCTCAGATAAACAGCAAGGAAAATAAAGAGGGAAAAAAAAAGTAAAATACATTATCGAAAGTCTAACCTTGGTATTTGGTGTGCGTCCTGTTGCAAACATAATATGTGAGAAACCTTCCACTGTACCTTTGTTAGTCTTCAAAGACAACGAGCCATCAGCTGACTTGATGATAGCTTGGGGAGTCTCCTCAACATGAAACTCAATTCCTCTTATCGCCATCTGTTCTGAAACAAAATCTCTAACCTGCACGGTTCACAATTTGAATTTGAAGAATTTACACTGTGTGGTGATTGTTTAACACTAATATCATCTGGGTCCTTACCTCTTCATCAAATCCCCGTAAAACTTTTTTCTGCCGTATAAATACATGGACCTCGCTTGCTAAACCATTGAAAATACCAGCAAACTCCAAGGCGATGTAACCACCACCAACAATAGCTATCTTCTCAGGTTTTGAAGGCAAATCAAGGGCAGCATCTGAATCTATTGCATATTCACGCCCAGGGATATCAGGAATGAAGGGACGACCCCCTACCGAAATTATAATGTGTCTGGCTGAATATAGCTTTCCATCAACATCTACTGTGTGAGGATCTACAATCTGTAGGTGAAAAAGCATTAGCACCATGATGAAAAACATTCCTATAATATCCAATCATGTTAGAAAGTCAATTAGTATCATCACATCACCTTTCCACGGCCTTCAATCAGCTTGACATCAGAATTTTTCAAAATATTCTTGTAGATACCAGTAAGACGTTGTAACTCAGCATTTTTATTAGCCATCAGAGTACTCCAGTCATGCTTTGGTTCGCTATCATATTTCCAACCAAATCCATTACTTTCTTCAAATTCATGAGCATATTTTGATGAGTAGACAAGCAACTTCTTTGGCACGCATCCACGTAGTACACAGCTGCATGGAAATGAATAAAGATTAAAACTTCTTGAAACATGCTATTTTATAATCAAAACAAACGAGTTAACCTTGTATGCTGCTGTCATGCAAAAGATTACAACTTCAATTGGAAAAATTATCGAAAGTGCATCCTCCCCACACCAACACCCCCCGCCCCCTTCCAAAAAAAAGGGGAAGAAAAAACCTTGTTTTCCTTCCTGTCAAAACGATCATTTCTTTCTCTTACTTTTTTTTTTTTTTAATAACCCATCTTGTGAGTTGATTTGGTTCAGGCCTGGCAAATAATCACTCCAATCCTGCCATCCCAAATCGAACACCTAGGAGTCATTTAAGTTCTCTCGCAGACCATACAATCAACGCCTTTATTTCACTTACCCGCTCTACAACTTTCTACCTTCTCAATTCCCTAAGGATTTTCTAATGGTGCTAGGCAAGGCTCTGCCGATCACAAAGGGTACTTCACATCAGCTTCAATAGGAATGGGAATCTTTTCCCCCCGGAAAAACTAATGAGTCGAACACTGAAGAATATGTTTTTGCACTGTAAAGCCATTTATATTTTCCAAACTGTATTAGTCCCATAAAACAGAAACTACAAAGTTTCAGCCAACCGAAATCACCGCTAATCGATACTTGACGGCATAACATTAATTGATCGCTTAGTTTCCACGCCAATTCGAAAGCTATACTCAAAACCTAATACTTCGAACTGAACAAGACAGATATCGAGACAGCACTCACGTTCCGCCAACTCCTCCGGTGGTGTCGGACGAGATGGTGGAGAAAGGGAGCTCGCAGATAGCGACTGAAGCGCCGAAATTGGCAGCAAAGCGAGAGGCGCGGACACCTCCACTACCGGCGCCAATAGTGAAAAGGTCGAAGTCGTAGCGGCGGGCAGCGTCGGTTCCATTCTCAGACTGGGAACGAACGGTGAAGGTGCAGCAGCGCTGGTATTGAGAAGGGAAGCGGGCATGGCAGGAGAGAGAGAATAGGGTTTTGGGAAGAGAAACAAAAGAGGAACAGAGTAAATGAGAAAGAGGGGGCTTTTGGCAGAGGAGGGTCTGAAGAGTTGGGGAAGAGAGAGAAGATAGCTTCGGGCTTGTGAGAGAGGAAGCCATTGTTTTCATCTTCTCCCTGCGCAGGTTTGCGTCATTAAACTTTCTGGGGATTATTATTGGTTATTCCCAACAGCTTCGCACAATCCATATAAATTGTTCCCCCTCGTAGTCTAAAATATAAAAAGTTGGAAGGACATTTAATAATAGTTGTTTATTTTTAATCTTTTGTTATGGGAGGAAAATAGGTATCATTGATTTAGGGGGAAAAAATTAGCGTATCATCAAAGTTGCTCCCCAAAAGTATATATAATTATCAATACTTATTAAAATAAATATTCATATATAATCTAAATTGGTGGAAGAAATATATAACAGAATAAGAGGACATACTCCTTCACATATTTATTTTGTATACTGTAAAAACACTTTTAAAACTATAGGTTAATTTTTATCTAAATACCTCCTAAGATATTCATAAAGATACTAGAAGAGAGACAGAGAGAGGGGGAATACCAAACAAGGGCTTGACTTGTAATGCGACCCAAAAAAGGGGAAAACGGGAACAAGACATGGATAAAAACTAATGGCTTGGTATCTATGAAATGATCGAGGGGCAATAAGCACTCTGTTAAAAGAATTTGTAATACTACTGATTCTTGACATAAAAGTTTATTTAATTTCTATTTTGATTCTAAATATAAAAACTCAATTCACATCGTCTCTTATATTTAACCATTTTTTTCTAATGGAGTTCTTATAATAATGACAGTTCTAGTCAATACACTTGATTAATAACAATATTTTAAAAAAGATAATACATATTTATTATAAATAACTAACTTAATTAGTTTTTTAATACACTCAAATTAGTCAACTAATTCTTATATTAAAGATCGGATGTAGTATAAAACTTGGACTACAGTCCAATATTAAAATCGCAAAAATTGCAACAAAAAAATCATGAAAACTATAAAACCGCAAATTAAGGCCCGTTACAATATTTTTTATAGGTTAATAATAGAATTACAAATCACAATACATTTTTAACAACAAATTTATTTACAGTTTCACAATTTTCAGTCTTTTTTTTGCAATTTTCTCATTAAAATTTTTAAAGGTTAAAGTTAGTCTCCGTTGGTGAATTAAAAAGATATGAGTCGAAAGAATTAATTTAAATCTTTTAGCAATAAAATGATGCTTTTAAAAAATGACAATAATTTAAAATTAATATAATTTTTGGTCCGTGAAATTCAAGTTTATTTTAGTTTTGATTTCTCAAATTTTAAAATCATGGTAATTCTTGAAATTTAGTTTATCTTAAAATATTAACTCCAAGAGGCATAACGATATTAAAATTTGCTAAAATGTCATTAATGGTGTTAAAGTTGTTAGAAAATTATGAACTCACCAGTTACCACCTAAATGGATCTTGTGTTGATAACAAGAAAGCAAAGAACAGGTCCTTAAATACAACATAGAGAGTGAGTGGCTCCTTAGACGAACATAAAGAAAAAGGGTTAATCAACTGCATTTTGAGTATCTTTTTGTTTTTTGTTTTTGTTTTGGTTATTTATATAAGATTCAGATAAGTATCATCACCACTTTAATATGGTTTATAATACTTTGACAGATTTTAATACCGTAATGTTTTTAAAGACTAACATTTTAAGACAAGTAAATTATAGAAACTACAATTATGTGTTTAAAATTTCAGGAATCAAAATTAAATAGGAAAAATCGTAAAAAAAAAATCACCAAAATTTAAAAAAAAAATGCAAATAAAACCTATTACAATATTAGTGTGGATTTTGACAATAATTTTTGTAAATGAATCTCTGTATGCAATTTTCAATTTTTGAGGTCTTTTTTTGGCAATTTTGTCAATTAAATAAGCCTAAGTTTTAGAAACTAAAAATTAGATTAAACCCTTTTTAAGGAAAAGTTTAACCTGTTTGCCGTCACCCGTAAGGCTACTCGCTTCACTCGTGTCTGAGAAGAAATGTCATAGGCCTCACTGTTGCTTAGCATAAGCTTTCCTTTTCATTCAAGGATGTGGTATTCGCTCCCCCATTTCGGTTCTATGAGAATTTATATACAAAATTGCAGAAAACAAAACACTTATCTCTTTTTCTTTTATCTTCCATAAAAAAGTATTTATTTGAAAAAAAATGTAGCAGACCCCTAGAAAAACGACACAAAAAGAAGATTCACCACATGTAAAATAAAAAGTAGAATTTGTCTTATATAAACTAAAAGAAAATTTAGTACGCTCTTCCGTCTTATTTAAGGATCAAATCACGTGGATAAGAAATATAAATATACCCGGCTGTTTGATTTGCCTGATGCATGTGAACTCGTTGGCTTTTGCTCTATATTTTAGTCGTCCATGATATTTTAAACCATATTTGTTATCAAACAGTACACTTTGATTGACATGTGAAATCAGGATTTTGTGAACGGCTCTCGTGAAACAAGTTGTACATTTTAGAGGCTGTGAAAGATGTTCCTCCCAGGCATTTCTCCATGCATGTTTCTTCCCTCGCTGCACTGCAGTGTCCTGTCTTCTTCTGAGTATATGCTCTTGCTTCTATTACGGGTTATTCATTAAATACAGGAATTAAGAGTGTGCTTAATAGCAATTGTGACTCTTGCATGCATGCAATATGCTCCGGAATTGGAGTGACAAATGAACAAAGAAAGAAGGAAGTGGTTTGGGTGGGAAAAGATGTACAAGTAGTATTGATACAAAGCTTAATTTAGGAAGGGAGAGGAGTTTGCAAGTTTAGAGGCGGCAGAGAGAAGGAAATAATGAGAGGACAATTAGAGAGACATTCCAGATTCTTCGTCCTCATCGAGCTCGGAAGTGTAAACAGTATAGAAAGCCCAAATGAGGCCGAAGACACCCAGCAGGATCCAACCCAGAAGGTTGTTGCTAAGGCCGAAGGGCAGCCCTGTTCCTTCAGTGCTCATTCTCTCGTCCACCAGAGCCACGGCCGGGCTTGACACGGTGGCGGCGCACACAGCTGCCAGCAGAGATGCCCCCATCCCCACGTCTGCCTTTAATGACTTGCTCTCCATGCAGCATCTCACTCTTCCCCCCTAGCCATCGCCGGCAACCCTACGCGAACCATATTCTCTATCTTTAATTCATCAATTTATAACCAAATCCGTCATTTCAAAACCATTATATCCCGCATATTACTACTGTCATGACAATCCAAGTGATCATTCCCTCCTTAAATCATGCAGCCATGCCTCCAAAGTGAGCACGCATTTATTGGATAATGTGATTGTAAGAAAGAATGGAATTATTGGATTTAGGCTTACCACGAACATGAGAGGAGGAACGCTCTAGGGTCGCCTGTGTGCAAGACCAACGTGGGTGATGGATGAGGTAGGGGTGCTGCCGGAGATGGTTGCCATTTTTCTTCAGTAAGACCGGATTAACCTTGTGTGAGTCCAGGCTTTTGAAGGTGAAGCACAGGGTATAACTGTTTTTTTCATATTCTCAAACGTTTGCGATTATATTAGTACCATCATTGCAAAGAAAGCCACTCTCGTATACCACACAATACGGATAGACTACATACAAGCCTCCCGCAGGATTGCCCCCATCTCTACCAGTCCAATTACTTCTTCCCACGTGTCACACCATCCGCTTGACAACCCTTGTGGCCTCTCAATTGACAACGCCTTCTATTCTTCTAGTAATAGAAGTTAGATGGAAAAAAAATCCACAACGTCAATATTTTGATTAGTCGTTCCTGAAGAAACAACATTTCGCGAGTTCCTTAACCTAAGGGTATGTTTGGCTCAATGAGAGGAAGGGGAGGGGAGGGATTTTAATAGAGGGAAGGGGAAGGGGAAGGGAGTGGAAGGATTTTAATATTATCTTGTTTGGATTTATAAAAAAGAGAGAGAGAGGGGGGGAAAAATATTTTAATATGGACAATTTTGCTCTTATTTTATTTAAGATGTGGGCATAATGGTCACAACATGACAAATATAGACATAATGGTCACAACATGACAAAATATGGGTATAATGGTCACAACATGACAAAATATTACCCTTTCCTTCCAAATCCTCCCAATTTTGAAGGGGAGGTTGAAGGGGGAGGGGAAATTTTAAAAAATTTTCCCTCCTCTCCTAAAATTTGTGTGTTGCCAAACAAGGGGAAATGATTAAACCCCTCCCCTTCCCTCCCCTCCCCCCAAATCCCTCATACCAAACAACCCTAAAACAAAATCATGAGCAGTGGATAAACGCCAGTGAACACTTGAATCCCACTAACTTAAAGCATCATGTTTCACAAGATAAAAATAAATCGATCATTGACACTACAGTTCAAGAACACAGCTCTCATTCCAACAAATAGCATGTAAAATTTGTTCTTGCGGGCAATGTAAAGACCTGATACCAATCCCTCTAACTAAGGTGGGATCATTAAATAAGAGCAGCGAAGGTGAATTATTTACACAAGAACGAATAGAATCTGCAAACAGCTAAAACGCCTCTAACTCTTATTTCCATCCCAATTGTCACTATAAACTGGCTAAGCTTTCCAACAAGTCATGTATAGAAGATTGTTGAGGAGGTACGAAGGGCTTTACAATCAGAACCGCCAAAGAACAGGAAAGAATAGAGCGAAGAAGCAAACAATATGCCATCAGATTAGTCAATTAACACGAGCAAGGTGGGAATATTTGTCCTACTCATGCAGATTGCACTGTTGCAATAACGAGCGATCATAATTAATAAATTTGGTCCAATAACCCTTGTATCTTCCCATTGCAATATCCAGCCATGGTTTCCTAATTCCATCATAGTGTATAACAGCGGCACGCTCAATTTCATTGCGATCTATGCCTGAGTTATAACCAAGGCCAAGAACATGCCACCGTCTTTCCAATACCATTGTCTTGTTATAGAAGGTGAGCCACCCAATAGGCAGACTTCCAGCATTCCATAATGGCCTCTTAGAACCCTGAAAACAGTACCAGATAGAGGCATCAGAAATCATTCCACCACAATGCAGATATAGATTTTGGTGCACACTTGAGAAAAGAAAAGGAATAGAGGGGCATAAGTTGCTTTAAGTTAGCATGTATGCGCCCCATCTGTAACAAGCAATATGAGGGTGGGCATAGTGACATAGCAGATCAGAATTTAACCAACATATCTTTGGAGATAAAGAACCAGCACTAGGAAATAAGAAATCTAGCTGGAGGAAAAGTGCCAGACACTTGACTCCAGAGAATAGTCTGGCGATGACGAATTGATCCACAACCTCAAGGAAACACGTCTTCATTAAAACTATTTATCTAGAAATGTCAGCTCCGGATTACTTCATTCATTCCTAAAACCCAGACTGAAAAGTCAAATGATATAAATGCAGCAAACATTGAATGCCATATCGACACTGCAGGGCAAAAAAAAAAAAAAAAGGGAAAAGAAAAGAAAGAATGGAAGGTAGAAGCATAGTACAAAATAGACATATCGTGTTTTTTCCCCAATACCATTTCCAAATATTTGTGGTAGACAGCAGTTAAATCCAGTCTCCTCCACTGTTGCAAATCAAACACGTTCATCCCAAACGCCCATGTGCATGCATTGTCATCAAACCTCTCTGCAATAAATGGATCTGAGAAATTGATGAGCGTATTGATCCTGTAGAATGAAGTATCACCTTCTTTACAAGTTCCGACAGCTCCATTTACTTTTTCCTTCATATTGGCATTCCATAGGCTACTTAGATCTTGTTGCACCACCACATCATGATCCAAGAGAATAATCTTATCAAGAGCAGGGAAGATGTCCGGTAGATAGAAGCGAAGGTAGTTGAGTTCAGAACTATATCTGGGATCACTAAAATTTTGTCTCTTGAAGCCACCGTATTTGGACATCCATTTAAAGTTGTCCATATTTTGTATTTGGAGAGTGGCTTTGCCCGGTGGATTTAATAAGAACCACATCGAGATTGCTGGAAAATTGAGTGAATTGGTCACCAAATGGAAAACAAGTTTCTCGGGTTCCTGCACAGCAAAAGCCATTGTCAGGGCCTTAAGCGTTCTTGCCACACCGCACACAGAATCAGATTCAGATTATTTGGCTTAGAGCCAATAATGATATGTTTCTTGTAGAAACCAAACCTAACTATCATTGTAGCAAGCGTAAACATAGAACATAACCCAGAGTTTGCCCAGTCAAGAATAGAGGCACAGTTTGAAGCAAATGCAGCAACTTACATTCTAATCAAGAACTGTTTATTAATCATGGACCATCCCTCTTATCTCCCCTTGTATATGTTGAAAGCCAGACACTTCTATACAAAACAACTGTTGATTTATATTGATGAAGTAGAAAGACCTCTTCCATACTGGGTAATTAATATTTCATTCAATGTAATCAAAGTATATTCAACTTCTATGTTCACTAGTTGTTTGATATAGATCCAGATTATTAATAGCACATGCTTGATATAGATAAACAATAATGAAACAAATTCTTCTTCTAGAAATAGATACTATTTTAGGGTAAAGAAAAATGCATTGAACGTCAATATATCAATATCAATATTCAATATATATATAAATACAATCTACAACAAACCGGGTTATTCAGAAGCCACGAATTATGCAGCGTGTGTTTTCGACTTTGCCCAACCCACGAAAAACATGTCTAATTGAAACAAGGGAATTTTTTCAAATATGACATAAGTATTATGTAATTACCATACAAGGCAATCAAAGGACTCATGAGGAGGGAACGAGAGAAACATCAAACATGCAAAATGCTGAGGCACCAAGTACATACTACACAAAAATAACTTGATATTTTCAATAAAATAAAAAGAAAAACAAAGGGAAGGTGGAGTTGACACTGGACAGCTAAGCTCAATATTTGATCGGCTGTATTCTTTTTCCATTTCCGCAGTGGCAGGTGGTCAGTGACTAATTAGCCCGAGGTAAAATTGAAGAATGATTGCATCAAAAGGAAAAAGGAAAAAAGAAAAGTTAATCCATATAACAAAAAACATTTACCTTGGCAGTAGAAACAGTGGAGTTAACAACGACTGCACACGCCAGAACATTATCAGAGAAGAGAGCATAGTGATAAAGCTCAGGATTATTGATCTTATTTTCATTTGGAAACTTCCTCTCCTCAGGTCTCAGAGCATAGTATTCTGAAGTCAGCCGCATAGCAAGGCAGTGGAGGCCTTTAGTGGTGGTCCTTGCAGCAAGATGAACAAGAAATGACACTTGAGCTAGCTGAGTCCGAACTTGCTCTTCAGCATTGTAGTTCAGTGCACGAAGCTTTGAAGCCATAAGATGGCAGTGTGGGTAAGCATGGTCAGCTTTGGACAATGTACCATCCATGTGTTTCATTTTCTGCAAAGCACTGTGAACTTCACTTGTTTTTAGATTGAAATAAAAATCCTCTGACTTTGATAGTTGAAATTTAATCCAAGCATTAATAATATAAATGTTCTCATTATTTTTTAACAGCAAGACAAACAGTCAGAGAGTTTTAAGCCACGGGAGGGTTAGCGATTTCTACATCATATTCAGTAGAAACCGGCAATTAACTGAGGAATGAATGCAAGTTGGCAATATAAGAAAAGAATTTTTGAAATGAATGCAAGCAGCGAATATCAGAGAAGAATATACCTCCTTGGTAAATCTGAATCCTTATTGGCTTCTCCAATTATTTGTTCCATCTCTTTAATCCGCAGCTTCAACTCCTTCACCAAGCGTGAGGTGCTGCTAGGTGGTGCAAACAGCAAGTATGCTTTGGCTCTAATAATTTGGTCTTTAATCTCCATTACCCTCTCATTTGATGCTTTATGTGACTGAGGGTGTAAAGTCGGACGATGTTGTGATGCCTTCCGATCAGGTTGCTCATTTCTCCAAATATTTTCATATTTTGTTCTTTGTGATTGAGTGTTCATTCTCTGATATTGTGAAACTGTTTCATCAAATTTCTTCTGCAAATCCAACCGCATTAAACAGTGATATAAGACAGTAAGCATGTAAGCTCCTTTTCATCATTTTTAAATAATTCATCTGTAATGATAGAATGCAGCCGACTATCCGAGTTACAATACGTATTTACTCAATAAATCTAGATATAAACATTTTCCCACCAAGAACCACTGCTTTTTCATTGTCCTTATATATTATTTGCCACCCATGTTAACCTCTATATCTAGCTAGAATCATGTAGATATGAATATTATATCCATCTTTACTGAAAAATCCTAAGAGCATTATTGTGAAATTTAAGAGCTTTATATCTATCTTTACTGAAACCAAAGAGGTTAACCTTCCAGTTAGGTGCACTTTTTCCCCCCCATATACTAGGGGAAGAAATCGAAGCAGGTGCCCCTACAGTCTTTGATAATGCGATTCACTAAAGAAAGTAGCACAAACCTTTTCTTCAGAAATGGAAGAAGATCCTTTCTGATGAATTTGCTGGTTTTCCTTTTTGTCATCATTGAATCCTGGAACTCCAGAACAGTAGTGCAAACTTTAGTTGGTCCCCAAGTGTTGACATTACATGGAAAAAGAAGATATTCAAAATGCTCACAGAGATACCAACCATTTCTCATCAGAAACTTACTTCTGTACCCTACAATTCCAGATTCTTCAGAATCATTACTCTGTTTGGAACTGTAACTAATCCTTGGGACAAAATCGTTTTCTTTGTAAACAACTTGTTTTGGCTCTTCTAATTCTCTAGCATCTTCCTGAAAGGTCAAAAAAAACAAAAACAAGCATTAATTATTAATTAAATATATTGATTTCCCAATTCAGTGTAAAAGAAGGGTAATCAATTTAAATACTGAGGAAGGATCTTAACAGATATGCTGCTACCTTTTCTATGGAATTCAATTTTAAGGTATCTGTCCTGTATGTCTGCAAGAAGCAGATGAAATTCAATTCAAATCACAAAAAAGGAGCGTAAAAAGCAGTTCACTTGACTTCCGATGAAGTATAGCAAAACTCTTTCCAAGGTTCCAAAAAAAAAAATCATAATAAACCAGAATCTTCCAGCCCATAGTTAAAAGCCAAAAGCTCAATAAAAAAACTCAAGGTAGATGTTCGTCCGAAAAAATTTATCTCGCCGACTCTATAACAGCAGAAATAAGAAATTTAAAAACTGCTGAACTCTGACTCCTCTTACTCAATTTTTGTAGTCAGCAACCAAACTGAATGATCGAAAAACGTATTTGCTTAAACGAGAAAAATAATGATGAGAATCTGATGAGAGGAGCAGGATTCTTACAATACTCGATAGATCATCCGCGAGCTCATTCCGACCTGAAACGAAATTTACACGATAAGAAGCGATCACAGATAACTTGATATCATATAAATATGCACAGGACATTAGGACTGCAAGCAAGCATGGCGTGTGAATTTACCGTTAAAAGCGATCAGTTTAAGCCGGTCAGAGAATAAAAGGAGAGGCGCAAAGACAGTAAGAGAGAGCAGAGAGAGGATGAAGATCCTCTGGCGTCGACGAAACTGGATCATCGACGTAACGAGGGGGAAATAGAACTGACTATGACCCTGGTTCCGAAGAAGCACATTTCAAAGATTCAGATCGCGGAGAATTTGTCGATGCTTCGATGAGAAGGAAGGAACACACAGGGCCATCCCTAGGGTTTTGAGTGATGCGCCGCGTCCCTTTTCAAGTCTGTGATCCTTTGCGCTTTCTAGAGAGAGAGGAGGAGGGGAGGAGCAGCTCCGTCCATGTTCGCCTGTGTCTGTGAGAAAGGGCAGTTTTGCTTTCTCTCACTTGTTTATTTTACGAGTAGTTTGGTTTAATTTATGGAGTGAGATTTTGTAAGTTTTGAGTGCCCTCGAGATCTATGACCATGACCCCAGTGTGACTGGGAATAGGAATGGAATATAAATGAACATGCACAACGGATCATCAGAGGACGACAGGCGCTTCCTGATGTGGGTCGGTACTCGGCGCAGTTCTTACATCCAAGTCGTTATCGTCTATTTTAGCCTAATTAAAACTAGGGAAAAAAAATCCTTCATCATTTCTAGAAAGAAACATAATTTTCAAAAATTGCATACCAGGTTAATAATAAATTCTGCATCAATATTATTATAGGTCCTCATAAAATTTTGATTTTAGTTCTTATAATTCTAAATCTTTAATTTTGATTCTTATAATAAAAATTTTGTTTGAGTTCAAACTTACATATCAAAGTCAACACCCGTTGAAAGTATAAGAATCATTTATTAAATTCAAACCAAATTCTTATGAAGTAAATTAGTGAACAAAATCAAGAGGTTGAAACCCTACATAGTAAAATTGAAATTTGATTAAGCTATAAGGATTAACGATAATATTACTCCATAGATTTTAATAGAAGAAATGATAATAAATTCGTATTATTCACTTGTTATTAAGATTTTTTATAATTCTATTTTTTTAGACCTCTTAGCGATCTTTTCTTACGATTCTCCCCCCTTGGGTTCTTATGCTATGCAGGCTCAATGAAGGGGGAATAGGGAAAGTGGGTATATATATAATTTCACAGTCTATGAGGAAAGGGTACGGTGAAACCTACAAAGGGAAATAATAACTCGGAAATGAATACAAATATAAAAACACGGAACCAAGTGGGACGTGAATTTGAAAGTTTGCTTGTACAGTTGTACTTATCGGCCCTCCGCTGTTGATGCCCTGATAAAAGCAAAGCGTCAACCTACTCGAGAGAAGAGAGCATAAATAATAAACAAATAATGTGTCCTTATAAAATAAATAAATACAAGATGAACCAGCCCCATGTGAAGCCTTTGGCAGTTTGCTTTGGGCTTGGTCAGCAAGTTTGAAATACTAATCTGTTTACAAAATGGCATCCGTCGTATTCTGTCTTTAGACGCAATCTGTAGTTTGGGCAAAAAAATTAAAGCAGTGCATGGTGTTTAACACAGTTCTTGGTTGTGAGGAGTATTTGGATGGAATGAAAACCATAATTTTAAAAATACTTTTACGATATAAGAAGTAAATATATAAAAGAGTTTATCTCAATTTATAAAAAAATATTTTTTTTAAATACTTTTCACATAAACCAAACACCCGCAGAATAACTTTGATGTTGTGAGCCTTTGGCTCCACGTGACCCACAAAATGTGCTGCTTGCTTGTCCATTTATATGCGCGCATTGTACGCGTGCGTGTCATATTTTCCCAAATCCAATTTCCGCCGCAAAATATCCCAAAACCGATTTTACAAGATGACCCAACAAATATATGAGTGAGAGTTCGCATCCATTTGAAAATAGATGGTAGATCGTTTGAGTGGTTTATATACATACAAAAAAGTTCATTGGATCTTACCAGAAAAAAAAGTTCATTGAATGTGTCAATAAAAAGAGTAAATCAAATAGTATGAATATTGTAAAAATAAATACAGAATACTCAATAAAATCAATGAGCATGAACTTTTTAATTAACAATTTATTCAAAAATTTTGATTGTTGATATTGTGCGATATTATTGCACCATCTATGTAGCCCACCTAATTCACTAGGATAAGATTTGTTGTGTCATCCTTATTTTTTAAACTCATAAATACTTTTAAACAAGTCAAGATAAAATTATTTTCATATATTTATTTTATACATCGTAAAATTGCTTTCAGATTAGAATTGTTTATTTTCACGTGAAAAGCCATCTAATTTTATAGGCATAAGTTTAATGATAACTAATTTATCCATGTTAAAAAAATTAGCTAAATTAATTGTTTATAAAAATTCATACTGTTTTTCCGAAAATTCCATCCCTGTTAAGTATTTACAATGAAAATTATCTTCAGTCACTGCACAGACTATCCACGTTAAGAAAATTAGAAGCCTTTAGCTCAGCCAGAGGTGAAATGGTTTCTTTCAAAGCTTTATGACTTCGTTAGAAACACACAATTATTTTGTACTTTTTTCTTAATGTTATTCATTATTCATTTTATCGTTGGAATAAATGGACCCTCGCCTCCAATTCAGAGGAGTAAAGACTGAGGCCACCCTAAATTACCACCTAAATTACCATTTGTGTTCTAGTAATCTAGTATCTAGCTTCTTTGTATATCTAAATCTTCATCAAGGTAATTTAGATCTTCAATCGTAAAAAAAAAAAAAAAAAGGCCTTAATCGCGGGAAAAAAATTCCTTTAACAACTTGCATCATCTTGTTTTAAGAAAAACATATCAATAGCATCTGAATTTTTCTAGTAAAATAGAGTCAATTTTGTTAATCAAACAAAAGGTATGAATACAACATCAATGGTTCAACCCAAGAGAAAAACACTTTAAAAAAAACCAGAGTACAGCCCAGCACTCGGGGAAAAAAAAGGAGAGAGACAGAGAGAGACAGAGAGAAGAGAATCTGAATTGAATGTAGTAATTTAACAACGCTCAGAATTCAAATTTAATATTTACTTGACTTTTAATTTAATTATAAATATAAAATTTTAATTTACTTTATTTTTCATATTTATTTTTTTTAAATAGTCATTGTAATGATTACACATATTAAAAGTTTTATTAAATGATGATTATAGCTAATATTCATGATAAATAAGAGTATATTAGAGAAAATAATACTAATTTATTATAAATAACTAACTTAACAAAAAATTTTAATCTACTTGATTTAGTCAATTAGTTTTTATATAAGAAATAAAAATAGTATATTGTGTTGATAATATATACCAGTTTAAAAAACCCATATTTTAAGGACAGCCGGGGAAGCATGTCTTGCAAGCATATATAGCTTTAAAGACACGCCAAACAAATTATTAGAGCTGCATTCAAGCGTCCCATATGGTTGAAAGGTTAAATAAGAAGTTCAGCATTTATCTAAGGCAAAATTGTACATAGACCATGATCACTTATATATTTAGATAGAATGATGGATGTAAAAAATGTTTGCAATTTCCATTTTTGTTTGCCAGCTCAATTTTCAATTTAATATATAACTTCCGTGGTAATTATATTAAACTTCAAAAAATTTTAAAAATCTCATTAAACGCCATCAAATTATTTTATCATATTTCTAATAAAGTATGATAGTGCCTTTAGTTCTTAATACAAGATTTAGTTTACAGTGTAATTTATATTACAAACTATATTTCATATCAAACATCGGAATAATATAATATTGGCTTTTTTTCATTCAGTTATTTTAAATTTTAAACATGCATTCGCGAAAAACATGTTAAACTTCAATTCATGCCAGACTAAATCCTCACACATAAAAGTATAGCTCGTTTCAATCGAGCTACTTTTACGAGTGCCTATAAGAATATGCTTATTTCATATTGTCTGAGTCTATAAATCATTTTACCTGCCATTGTTAAACGAAAATTCATGTAGAGACAGACACATGTATACGGCGACGGTACGGGATAAAGCTGAGTTGCCTTGGAGCATGGGAATGCATCGTGTTGCTCCACGTTGGAGTTTCTTGTCAGAGTTTATGTGGCACTTGAAAGTTGAAATGGAAATTCCATCCTTGTGTCTCTGTTTTCTTGTCTTGGCTCAACGCTAAACCTACCCAGAGTCGTGTTCGGGCGAATGAAGTGCCCCCCCCCCCCCCCAAAAAAAAAAAAGAGGAATGAGACTGCCAGCACGGACCCCACAATCTTACCAAGTTACACCATACTTGCAAGATTTTGTACGGTTCTCCTTCAATAATGATGACTCTGCGGCTGTAATTAAATCTGGATTATTCAAAATCTGATTTAAACAGATAAGATTTTAAGATTTTGATTTTTAATTTTTAATGATAAATTTTGTTTTAAATTATATATTTGTTAAAATAAAAAATTTTATTTAACATATTAAAAAATAGATTGAATTTGAATCAATTTTACAGTCCAAATGTTTTTCAAATTAGGATTTAACGTGACCTGAGTTTGGGACGCCGACCCATTCGTTCATCTGCCACACGTTCGCTTTGCGTTTACATTGCACCGAATGCACAGGGTCACCTCCAGGCCCAGCTCTCCAGTCACGTTGTACACCTCCTGCCACCAAGAGGGTTTTTTTTTTTTTTTTTTAATAAATATTTTAATCAAATAAATAATAAAGAAACTTCGCGTTCGAGCGTTCTTCTTGCTCGGCAGAGAAGAGATGAGATCTAGGAGTGAACAGTGAACAGTGAACCCTATGTTTGTTTCTCTCATTCTCGCAGACATTGCAGTTTAATTTTCTGGTTTAGAACACGAGCACTGTTTTCCTACCCATGACATATGTAAATGACATGACTTTAAAAATGTATAATTAATTCCACACACCTTCAAAAAATTATAAACGACGACACTTTGAAAAACTTAAAATATCTAGTTTGCAATGCAAAAAAAAGCATTGAAAAAATTTACATTATTACTTTTCTCAACTATAATTATATTTCTCGTCACTTATTTATTCAGGTTATATACTCCCACGTTTATTCTCTCCTCCGTTTAATTAATATTTTGCGCCATCCCTGTATAGTGTACTCTTCCGGTCCTTAATATAGGATCCAATTCTTGAGTTGGTTTTGGTCCTAAATATAAGACCCATTTCTCATATTTATCAATTTTCTCTAAATTACCCCTATAGATACTCTCTCACCCATAATCAAGTAGAAGAGGGAGAGGGGGTATTAAGAAAGATGATTATGGTATTTTGGGAAAAATGTGTCACTTTTCTTATAATTAACTAACTTACCTAACTTTCTTAATCTAATCAAATTAGTTAAATGGGTCTTATATTAAGGACCGGAGGAGTATTAAATTTCCACCTCCATCTTGGACAGCATCCCTCCCCGGCAAATAATTGATCCGTTAACATGAGTATTCTGGTTGGCAGCACAATCATTTGGATTTTGATGAGTGCTTAATCTAAAGCACATGGAAAAAACAGAGTAACAGGCCCAGTTAAGTTGTCTTAATTTACCACTCCCATTTTTATTACAAGTCATTTGTAGCTTATTTTCACACACTTACATATATTAAATTGATAAGATTTCCCAAATTTACTTTTATTAAAATTTTTATCTCCGCATTTACAAATCATTTTTAATTATTCTCTCTCTTTCTTTCTTTTCAACAAAAATTAAATAACAATAAAATTGAAAAATAATTATTAAATAACTTACATCAAAGACAAAACTCGTGGCAACTATAAGGATTAAGGGCAACTTGGCGTTGGTGGGGGATGCGAGTGCAGGGGGGTAGGTCGGCACCCAGCGCTTTGCTTAACCGACCATCTTTCCCACCTCCAATCACTCCAGCCATGCGTGGACGTGATGCTTGTTCGGCGTGGCGCTATATTGTGGGAGTCGCACTAAAATTTGTTGTCTTCTCAAGCAGTCTATAAAATCCGTATTAAATCAAACTATTCTTAATTAAGAATTGATGCCCAAATAATCTTTCACAGATTGAAAAGGTCAATTAATTAAGCAGCCCCATGTTTCAGTGCCAGTAATATAATAATAATCATGCCGCAGGTTGGAGACATTCTTCACTTGCTATTTTTTGTGGACTCAGATTCCCTCGGAATCATTTAAACCCAGAAAAATACAATCTCTCTCTTCCCTTTTGGAGGGTAATGGGCCTTCACCCCGAGGGTGACGGAGATTTTCACGTATAGGTTTTTCAGTATGTATCGAGTCAATCATCTCCCTCTTTGTAAGTTATGGAACCCACCCCTGGCCCTCCCCTTACCCGGCCTGGGCAGTGATGCAGATATCTCTCCTACCGCTCTGATTCGTCCGCATGAAATCATTGCCTTCTTATCTTTGCTCAACTCCTCCCCAATTTCTCACTCCCTCGCCGTCTATTGTCGGAGCCTCCCTCCCTATTGTCCCCCGCTGCAATTTCAAAGCTAGTCAATTACAGTCCACAACTCTCCCAGCTTGCCCAACGTAATCGCTGACGTACTCAGCGACCCCGTTTGTCTGTTTTGTGGTTCAAGGTCTTGAAACGAGCGGCTTCTTGGAGATGTGGTAGCGTCCTGCGCCTTGCGGATGGCGTTTTCAGGGTCTGTGGTGGATCTTCAACCTACTTTAAAGAAGAAAACTGCTGTTTCAAGAAGCTGGATTCTGCTGGACCGCAATGGCAACGGCACCGTGTTGGATGTGGACAAATACGCTATTATGCGCCGGGTTGAAATTCACGCGAGGGATCTTCGAATTCTTGATCCGCTGTTATCGTACCCTTCAACCATTTTGGGCAGAGAGAAAGTCATTGTCCTCAATTTAGAGGTAAATGCTCTGTTCTTCTTGCTCCACCATGAGCTTTTTTTTGAGCTTGGTTCTTTTCGCTCCTAGTTTGTTCAATCATTGATAGGATTATCTCGGTTGGTTTCGAGCTCTTGTTACAGCATATTAAAGCTATTATCACCGCAGAGGAGGTGCGTTTGATTCTAATGTCTAGTGGAATTATCCTGGAATCACTTCTCTCAGGTTATGCTCTGTTTTTAATTTTTGATTTCATGTTTGATGTAGGTGTTGCTGAGAGACCCACTCGATGATGATGTTATTCCTATTGTTGAGCAACTTCAAAGAAGGTTGCTATTTCGTACAGTGCAAGGCCAGCGAGAAGAAGAAGAGGCATGTGCTCAAGAAGTTGAAGGCGACGAAGAAAAAGGTACGACTCGGAAACTACAATTCGTAAAGGTTTTAGTATTGCTGTTTAAGATGTACCAATATATAGTTTGCCTAAATATTTTAACTCTTTTTTTTTTTAAATTAGTCGCAATAGTTTATTTTAATTGCGTTTTACTTGTGCGTTGTAGAATTTCCGTTTGAGTTCCATGCCTTAGAGGTTACATTAGAGGCAATTTGCAGTTTTCTTGATGCGCGGACGAGAGAGTTAGAGACTGATACTTATCCAGCTTTAGATGAGCTCACATCTAAGGTAAAAAGCCTTGTTCAAGAATCTTTCTTTAATTTTGTTCATATTTTAGCTGCATTAAGTGGAAGAATATCATACCATGACTATTAAATTTTGTAATACTCCATTGATAATCAGGAGGCTCGAAGATCGATTTGAATTAAATAGTCCTAGTTGCTGCTTTAGTGCAGGTTGATGCCAAAAGAAAATCATTTTCTCGCTCGCAAAGAGTTCAATTGATCTTCATTGGAATAAAGACGCTTTACAAACCCACCCCATTGTCTTGTTTACAAGAATTTCAATTCCAGAAGCTGAGAAACATAATTTTGTTATAATCGAAATGATTTCCTGTAGTTCATTCTTTTTTATTCTCCCTCCTCTACAATTCCATGGAATTTATCACCTAAAATTTGACTTCCCATATATTTTCCACTGGACCTGTTCTTACAAAATTATAATATCTTCTCTTCCTGGCCTACCTTCTTTGTCCAGATTAGTAGTCGTAACTTGGACAGAGTACGCAAACTGAAGAGTGCAATGACCAGGTTGACAAATAGAGTTCAAAAGGTATTCTTATATGATTTTTGTAAATGTCAATTCTCTTTCTAGTTTCTCACCCTTCTTGCTTATATATATAGTTCTGGAAAAACAGCTGCTTCCCGGGTGTAGTATAGTTTAGGTTACAAGTTAGAACATGTTTAAAGTAAAATTTCCATCAAAGCTGAGGGTGGGAAGAGGAAAAAGAAACCTTCAACAAGTGTCATAAAATTTGAACTAGATGCATGCTCTTGCAAGTTAAAGTCACTGATATTGTGTACCTATATTATGGACCTATACTTTGCACACAGATAAGAGATGAACTAGAAAATCTACTGGATGATGATGATGATATGGCCGACCTTTACTTATCGAGAAAGATGGCTGTCTCATGCTCGCCAACTAGTAGTTGTGATGCCCCCAATTGGATTCTTAGCTCTCCAACTATAGGTTCAAGGGTTCGTAGATCAAGCAGAGCAAGTGCAATGACATTTCAAGAGAATGATGTCGAGGAGCTTGAAATGTTACTCGAGGTCATTAATATCTTCAACTTAATCTGCCCCAGATTTTGTTGGGTTACTCGAGTTGATGATGCTAATAGATGGTATACTGTTTGCAGGCTTATTTCATGCAAATTGATGGCACATTAAATAAACTGACCACAGTATGAGCCCTGCTTTCTATTGAAGCTTCCCCTCTTTCTGTTCTCTGGTATGCTATATGGAGAGCAAGTAATATGTATTATGTAATAAGCTTTGTTATTTGTTTTGTTGATCTAATACAGCTGCGGGAATATATTGATGACACGGAAGATTACATCAACATACAGGTAAATATTTTGGTATGAAGATAACCTATTTATTCCATTTAAGTTCGCTTTAAATAGATCACATGCTACATTCGTAAATAAATCCAATGAGTGTCAACATTGCGAGTGAGCTGGCAATAGGAAATTAGTATCAATGTATGACGTTCATTTATTATTGTGTGACATGCGCTTGCAGCTTGACAATCACCGAAACCAGCTGATTCAGGTAAATATCTCCAAGGTTATCCATTCATTTCAAGACAGACTGCTTAGTCTTAAATATACATTCTGTGAGTGCTACTATTGTTATCCTTGTATTCTTAATTACAGCTAGAGCTCTTCCTCAGTTCTGGGACTGTGTGCCTGTCCATATATTCCTTGGTGGGTGCAATATTTGGCATGAACATCCCGTACACGTGGAAAGAAGGACACGATTATATGTTCAAATGGGTAGGTACAAATGTTCTACTAAAAGTGCGATAAAGGATTTCCTTATCTCCTAACAATCTCTTTTCGCTCCACACACACATATGCGAATAGAATCCATGATATTTGTTATTTTGATTGCTTTTCTGATTTCTTTCAATTGAAAATTTGTGACCATAGGTGGTAATCTTTACGGGAATAGTTTGTGGATCCTTGTTTTTGTCCATAGTATCATATGCTCGGCGCAAAGGTCTTGTTGGGTCTTGAAACAAAGATGCCATTCGAAGAGACATTGTGGATGATAGGCTCGGCACTGCGAATAGATGGGAATCAGTGGGATCCAATTGTACAAGAAATAAAGTGCAAATTGTTCTATCACGTTGCCTGAATAATTGCTTAATTGTTCATATTGTAGTTGAATTAGAAGTTGAAAACTGAAGAAGACGATTATAGATGAAATGGTTAGTTGATAAAATTGATTCTTACCCCGATATAAATTAATGGTGCTGTCATGGGATTGACGAGGAACGTCATCTTTTACATTTGGAAAAAAAAAAAAATTATTACCTGGAAGCGGACACGGTGCAATCTGACTTGTGAATATGGAGGCTAACCTGTAAGATTGACTTGTAAATATTGAATTCTTGAAATTTATCGGCAAGCATCCTATTTTGGATGCCTTTTCGTAAATTGACCGCTTTATCAAATTAGATATTTTAGACGCAAATGGCTCGCATTTGATTCGTATCATTATCTGAACAGGATTAAACTTATTGATTTAAATATAAAAAGTTGAGGAGTTGAAGCGATGAAACGTGATTGTTTTGACATTTGGTCAAACATAGACAAAATCCATCGAAAGTAGAAACACGAAATTTGAGCATGTTAATCATTTGATTGGTTTAGTTAGTTTAGTTATTGGTTTGCAATATTGCAGTGTTGAAAAATTTTCTTCGTGTTTTTTTTTTTTCAATTTCTTAATTTTTTTAAAATGTCATAACAAGTAATAGGTTTATACTCGGGGCTTGCCCACGTGATAAGGGAATGGCAACGCCAAGATAAAGTTTATAAGTTTACAATTCAAAAACAATCTATAAATTTCTAAAGTTTCATTTTTTTACATAATTTTTATTTTTTATAATTTTGTTATTCAGTCTTTGTCTGTAGTTTCCAAAAAAATACAAAGTCTTAAAAGTTAAATTTTTCAATAAATAAATAAATAAATAGTAAGGCACATAGTTGGGGCTCATTTCCCATGGTTTCATATTTGTGAAGCACATGGGAGCCAACAACTATTTGTTGAGCGAAGTCATTAGATAGAATGGTCGTGGTTTTCCCTATACAGATGCCAATGAACTGACATTCATCAATGAATCAACGTTACATTGAATTTACAATCGTAAAACAAGTTACAAATTCATTAATATTAATGTTTGAGCTGAGAATATCAAGTTGTGAAATTCATTAGTATTAATTGTTATATTTTTTTAAAAAAACTACAAGAACAGAAAATAAAGATATACAACGCACTAACCAATCACGGACTTTATTATGATCAAATCAGGGGAGTATTTTGACAAGTTTAATATTGAATTAAATTGGATTGAAGGCTCGTGGAGACAAATTAAATTCGGCATTGACTGTGTTGCTATTTACTGATAACAGGGACTGGTGGGAAAGTAGTGATAAGGAGGGAGGCAGGGGCATTGGGTCTGGGAAGTGGCACGCGGCCATAAATTGCCATAATCGCGTTGTAATATTGCGCCATGTCCGAACCGCTCCAATCATTTCCAATTATTTGCTTGCTGCCACCCAACCAATGCCAACACTCCCACGGCCTACCTAGCCTCAGCAAAACAACATTAAATCAAATCAAATCATCAGAACCAGCACCACGAACTTAGTGATAATAAAGGATGGTTCCTCTTTAAACACAAGCCTCCGATGAACAACTATTATGTGTTAAAAAACTTGGATGCACTTGTATTTAAACAAAACACGGGACTAGGTACGTGTAGCTACTGTTGCATGGAGGGGATGAAGGAGGCGCGCGTGAAATGGTCAAATGTGGTCACTCAGGTCAGGGGCCACATGGGCATGTACTTAGGAAGGGTCGAAGCCAGATCAGAAGACTTTGCCGTTACCTTATCTGCCACCGTTGTCACGAACATCACGTGTCGTTATTATATTCCTCCTCCTCCTTACAAACCCTATTGGACGGACCTACCCTTTTCTTTTTGACTTCGTTCCTTGACAGCCCCCGCTCAACCCTGCGGAACATACAGGCTAATAAAAGATAGATAAATCCTCCAATCCTTACTTTAATGTGAAGGGAATTATATTTGGAATCTCAGATTTGACATTTCCAAACGGCCTTCACACCTCTCGCTGGCTCCCTTCTCAACACCCTCATCATTACCCTGTTATTGCCATAAGTATTAAACACCCCCTTCCAGCTTTTTTTTTTTTTAAGGAACTGAGATTTTAATACCCGTCCGATTTTCAATAAAAATTTATTTAATTAGTTTAATTAGATTAAAAAAATTAAGTTAGTTAGTTAATTATAAGAAATATGACATGTTTCTTTTAAAACACCGTAATTATCTTTTTTAATATTCTCTGTCTTTCTTATTTGATTATAGTTGAAGGAGCTTTAATTGAGATAATTTGAGAAATACTAATAATATGAAAAAATAAGTCTTATATTTAAGATTAAAATCAATTCAACAATTAGGTCCTACATTGATAACCGGAGAAATATTACAGTAATTGAGATTTTAATCATGAATTTACCACGCGCATTTCCTAGTTTCGGGATGCATGTATGTAACGGTAGATTCAAGGAAAAAGTTTTATGGTTTCCCAGTAAATTGAATCACCCAGCAGGGGAATTGAATCTTCTGTGCACATACATGTACAAACACGCCAAGCATGTATGTTTATGGAAGAAAGAACATTCTAGCTTAGCTGCAATTATAAAGAGGTTTTAATTTTATGTGCATGAACTAATCATTAATTAGGTGAAATTGTACAGGATTCAGAAATGAATCCTGCTGTTCATGAATTTGATTAAAGCAGAGTGCACTGTAAATTACAATTTATAGTAACTCATAATGATAATGATTGCAGGAGGCACGAGGGGGAAGAAATATGGATAAATACAGTGCAGCGCATGTTAGAGTCCTGCCCCGCCGTCCACAACACGAAAGTAAAGGCGCATGTTAAGGTGGGGAGAGCACCACGGCGCACGTTATCACAGCCCCTATTTCCATTAGCTGTCGTCGTTGGTTGAAGTGTTCGAACCCCTCTTTAAATAATTTTGCTTTGTAGTGTATTTACAAGCCCCCCGGAATAAAAGAAAAAGAAAAACAAATAAAAGACAGAAACTTCAGACTCTTGGTTCATGCTCTTCTCGACGCAGAGGCCCCTCGATTCGGATCATCCACATCTCCCTCTGTCCAAATCTAACAAAACCGACGTCAAATCTTCACAAATCAGACCAACCCATTTCGTAATCCCGCCCAAAAATCCCAAGCTGCTGTTTTTATCCGTCTTCACCGAACGCTTGGTCCGTTTTCTTCTTTTTACGCACGCGTCTTGTGCTGTTTCTTCCACGTTTTCTCGTTTCTTAATCCATGTCATCTTTGCATCTTTCTCTGCTTCTCAGGTTAATGCCGATGATTACAACGAAATGGACGTAAATTTCGCTTGCGTGAGCTTAGTCATAGCATGCACTGGGTGGATACGTGCGTGAGATAGGAGCTGCGAGGTGAGGGCGAGGCTTGTCGGAGTTAGCGATGGCGAATCAGGTAGTCAAAGTGAAGAGGGAAACGATTGCAGCATGCATGACCTGCCCACTCTGCAACAAGTTGTTCAGGGAGGCCACCACTATATCTGAATGCCTGCATACGTGTGAGTCCTCTTATCTTTCTGTTTCCCTTCGAATCCTCTTTCTTTTAGTTTAATCTCGTGTTAATTCTTCAAATTTTGAATCTTCTGGGCATTTTTCATCACCGACTATCTTAGCTATCCTTGTTTTGCATTATTCTTATGGCTTCGGCTCTCCTTTGACCCTTCCTGGGATGGGCATCTGGTGTTTTTGTATAATCAGCTATGAGTAATTGGTCATTCAATGCTTTTGAAAATCTCTCTTTCTCTTCCTTCGTAACGATGTCTCACTATTGGTGACGTGAATGCCAGATGGAAGAGCTTTATCCTTTTGATTGGCCAACCATTCATTGACGCCTTTATATTACTGTGCTAAGCGTGAAGCTGTTTAAACGTTTGACTTCAAGTGACCATCACATATACACGATAAACTCACGTTCGCTCATACACGAAGCTCAGATGCTGGCACTGCAATTGTATCGTGACGGAGAGCACAATATGCAATTCCCCCGCTTTGGCCTCGTAGCTAGATCTTGTTTATAGCGTGATTATATAATCTTCTGTTCTGTGTTTTTTCTTGCTCGTTTCACTCCTCTAGTGCAGATTTCGCTGAAAATTTGCCTTCAAGGATTTTACTTCGTGCATTTTGGTGCCTAAAAAGTGTAGGAAATTGTGTCCTAGTGAATCCTACCTCATAAGACGAGGCTCAATATTCCTTGTTTACTTGGCCTTGTTTTCTATACCATGAGGAGTTTATACTCAAAATAGCTATGCTCAATGGATTTTTTCACAGACATTTCATAATATTTTGTTGAGCATTTGATAATGTGAAGGTTATATTTCCAATTGAGCGCTACGGTGACCAGATTCACTGAACATGTCGTTACTGATGGATTATTTCTCTGAACTTCATGCAGTTTGCAGGAAGTGCATATATGACAAAATTACAGATGAGGAATTGGAATGCTGTCCAATATGCAATATTGATTTGGGCTGTGTTCCGCTGGAGAAATTGAGGTTAGCTTCCTGCGATTGAGCCACTCTATTATCTCCTGTACTTTTTAAAATAAGGAATTGAACGCCCCTCTCTTTCACTTTAGCAAGTTTGCAGTTTGTTCAATATGCATGTAAGGTGTTATTTCAACATGTGCCGAGAATGTTCATCTTCTGCAAACTGCCCCCTAATTGTTATAATGCTGTTACAGTAGAGCTACAAGATAGATGCTTCTTTTAACAAACAAATCATATTTTGGATTCGTGTGTGCACGCACAGTAAAGAGCTTGGATTTTCCAAGTTGCAAAATTTATTGAAACACACTCTGTTTGGTAAGGAGGTTGAGGAGAAATATGTATCACACATCATAGTACTAAAAAGTCTTTGACTTGATCTTCTTTTATGGTGCTGTTGTCCAGGATCAACATGCAAGAATAATTGTTGATGCCACTATGTGGTGTCACGACTGGGTTATATCAGTTTTGTCAAATTTGAAAACACTTATGGCAGAAGCACTCAATCCTGCATATCAGTAACTTGTCACAATAATAATGCATATGAACTATAGCTTATGAGGAAGCATAATGAATTCTTTTCTATTTTCATTAGTA